GCGCTCCTGGATCTCGGGAGTCAGATCACACTGGTCACCGACGGCCTTTGTGACCGGCTCGGCATATCGGGGCCCACCGACAAATTGGTGCTGAGTACGCTGAGTGGGACCCAAACGACGACGTCACGACGCGTATCCTTCGCCGTCGAGGCTGTGGGCGGCGACGGCAGGGCACACCGTATACGAAACGCCCAAACGACGCCGACGTTAAATGTGTCAGCCAAGGCCACGGACTGCACAGTGGCAAAGGAGAAATGGCCGCACCTGGCCGACCTGGATCTCCCCAGCGCCACCCACGGCCCAGTGGAGGTGCTCCTGGGAACCGACGTCATCGAACTTATTGTGCCGCGGGAAGTGATCGAGGGACCGACGGGAACGCCGTGCGCCGTAAGGACGCTGTTGGGATGGACGGTGACCGGGCGGGCGTCGGAACGCTCGGTGCTCGATGGTGAGCACGTCGTCAATCACGTTCGTGTCAGTGATGAAACGAGTGCAGTCGCTGACCTTCACACCCAGGAATCATCAGAGACGACCCAGTGGTGTCACGCAGCCGAGCCGCCGGGCCCGGCCGACATCTTCAGCAGAGGCGGCCCGGGGACGGACCTCGCCCCCGGCGGACCGTGGATACGAGGTCCAGCTGCGCGGTCCGGCCCGGCCGCCCTCTCCGACGACGAGACGAGGGTGACAGCGTGCGTCACCGAGCGAGCGGAGCCGGTCATAAACGGCAGTGACTTCTCGTCCTGCCTCATGGACTCCGGCGGCCTGCTCAGAGTCGGTGGCCGTCGCTGGAAGCGGAAGAATACGCAACCGCAGGATCGCTCCTTGCGACGCCGGCGGCCAGAGTGTCTCCCCGCGCACGCCGACCGCACACTGCATGTCGATCATGAACACGACCGAGGTCAGGGTTGGCGAACTAGTGCGACTGACCGACGTAAACGTACCACGTGGACATTGGTCGGTGAGATGAGCGGAGTGTGTGACCCTGGTGTGGGCGGTCCTATTCCCGCCGCTGACGTGACGACTGATACCGGCCAATACAGGCGGCCTGTCTCTCGTCTCTGCCGTCTTGAGTGCGACGGCGACGGACAGTAAATGGACTCGGAGAGATAATGTGCGCGCACGTGGGACGGCTAAAGTGAGTCGTCTACGACCGCACTGTGCCGCCGGCGAGCAGTGTGGAGATCGGAGCGTTTATTAGTGTTCCCTGCGCCCACCATTCGCGGTGCTAACGTGTGTGTGTGTGCGTGTGAGAGTGAGCCGCTCATTCTGTCCGCTGCGAATGGTCATTTGTGTTTAGTGTTCAGTCATTAGCTATCAACTGTGAGCCGTGGGGCGGTGCTACGCGTTCACACTGTGACAGGGTCCCTCCCGGCCCATTTGGCCGGTCGGGCTTTGGATGAGCTAGTAGTTTACGACTTTAGAGTGTGCAGTGTTAGAATAGTTTATGGCATCACGCCCATGTTAGCGCTAGTTTCTGTTCGCGTCCGCTCAGTTCATGCGTTGTGTGACGTGTGTTGTGCGTTTGTGTGTCGGCCACGTGACGGCAATGTCACTGCCGCCAATGCCTCTGGACCGAGCGTGTGTGGTTTACGACATGCGTCAGTGTGACATGGCACCCGGCTGCCGAGACCGCGCTATCACCAGTTTTATGACTGGATGATTGTTGGCGGGGATAATGCCTGCCTCAGTCAGACATTGTGTAGTGCGTAATGTGCATCGTATGTGAGTGTATGTATATCGCGCATGTTGAACGGATCGTTACGAGTGTGTGCGTGCGTACGGGACGCTTGAACGATTGCTCGCTAGTTGTTGGATTTTCCGCGGATGATCGCGAAAAACCGGGCCGGCTATGTTAGCGAGCAAATTCGTTTCTGTATGTATCTTGACGAAGACGGCCGGCGCTCGGAGCGCGGCGGTCGGCCCGCCGCGCCGCGCCGCGCGCACATGTGTAAATCGTGTCATCTGGCCCCTGTCCTGATTCTCATGCCCACGTGTTGTGCTACCACGAGGGCTGAGACGGGACGGGGGCCTGACAGTCTTCAACGGGACTCCGCCGGTGCGACACGGCCCGGTGTTACGACGTGGCCGACGCGGCCTTACGTGAACGACGTGCCGAGTACGACGAATTGCGCTGCATCTGTGACCGCCGTATTTACCCGTTTTAATCGTTTCGCTATCAATCAAGAATAGACTTTTACATATATGAACAATAACTTTATGGTCCTCCGGGTGACGAAAGAGAACGAGTACGAGAACGGGTGAATGATCACGAGCACGCACGAACATTTCCGTATCGAACGGGTGAACTGAACGATTCTCATGAACAGAGTGTGAGATCTATGTAGGGCAGTGTTCGCCACGGGCCCCAAAATCCCCAGCCCAGCCCGGCCCGGGCCCATGGGTTCAGAGCCCGGCCCAGCCCGTAGCCCGCTGTTGGCAAATATTCCAAGCCCAGCCCGGCCCGGCCCGTCAAAAATAGCAATCTAGTTATTGTCTTAGTCCATTGCTATAATAAGCATGATTGATTACACTATTTTGAGAACAATTCAAATTGCATGAATATTAACATGGCAATCATGACTCCCTTCTTTTCAATGAATATAATCATTTCAAGCACCTATGGCACAAATTTTAACAGTAACAGCAAGCACCTCAGTCAATTAGGTCATGATTACACACCTATAAAAAGTTTCCATGATTATATTAACTACATTCTATGAGTAAAGTTATCTTGCAAGCTGATGTGTGTGAACATTATCATTCATAATTGGTGACTCTAATGCATACTTGAAGGAAGTATTTGCAACATACTCTATACTTCCCAGCACTTACCAGCAGAAAAAAGCTTGACTTATGGGAATTGATGAATCTGTCTGGGATTGACCTTGCTGTTAAATTCACTCCATAGATGCTGCAATATCAACAGCCTGAGAAAGCATACAAAATAGGTGACACTAACTTTAGCACTGTCTTCCAAAAAAAGAGAAAATCCATCCATTTATCAGCAAAACTGATTTAAACTATTTTCAATTCATGCCCACGTGTCAACCGAATCTCTGTGGAGTGTGGACAACTATCTGCTACTTTCCTTGCTATTTTATGTTAGGCTCTTTTCAAGATATGGATATCGCTAGCAGCGTAAGCAGAAAACATGGTAAGCTTGAAATGGCATTGGGTACTTTTACGAATTTTACGCATCATCATCATCAATCGAAAATGAGCGAACACTTCTTAATTGTCGCAGCTGCGGCAGGTAGCGATTTTGACCAATTGTATAATAAAACATATATGATCAAGTATTTGTTTTGTTTTTCGTTCAAGTTTTCAGACTTTGTGATTTAGGTTTTATTTTTTATTTGTTTAATTTTGTTTTTCACCCTGGTACTTACTTAAAAAACGTATTTATTTGATATACTGTTGTGTATACTACCTAGATGCCGCCACATAAACATAGCACCGCCGCCATGATTGCAAATTTTGTTGAGAGGGGGCTGGTTTGTTGTGATTTATTTTGACAAATTTATGGACATTTAAAGCAGCTTTCATCGCGAAATACTCTGTAGAATTCCTCGTTACTTACAGTGTGTTTTGTGAGTATCCTTTTAAGGTTCTGTTCGTTAAAAAGCCGTCGGTGAAGGAAAAAAGACTGTGTTGGAATTGTCTCACTATCGCCATATCAATATATAAGTGTTAAACTTAATGTAGCCCTGTAGCCCATCATTGTTGAGTGGCTTCTTAGTTTTTGGAGTTATAGTGCTAAGTAAGTTATTCTGATGACTACATTTTAACTTTTATTAACAAACTAATGATGCTAGAGATTCTCTGATCTTTTTGGTTGCAGCATTTTTATGAAAACCCTCCTATGTGTGACATGATGTGATATTGGATAATTCTCAAGATTCCCAAAGTTCAATATCAAGTAGGTTTTCTTTCACATTGCTTAAATTTGGTTTAGTTTTTGTATTTTCCCAGTGGGTTTTGTTTGCATCAGTTTCCAAATTTTCTTCAATTGACATTAGTCGCAAAACCCATAGTGCACAAAGCTCTTGGCCCGGCCCGTCCATAGCCCGTTAACTAATGATATTTGGGGGCCCGGCCCAGCCCGTAGCCCAGCCCGGCCCATGGCCCGTTGGGCTGGCCCGGCCCGTGGCGAACACTGATGTAGGGGTCAGTCAAACATAGGCCAGGGTCAAGGTCGGGTCAATCAGGTAAGTGCATATCTCTGAAAATCAAAACTGGTATTCGCTATCTATGTCACATGTTTTATTGGTAATTTTTGGCGTAGAACACGATAGTGACATTCTTTTTATCATAAGAGTACGTTTTTTTGCTAAAAACGTCAATTTAAGAAATGGATGCATCATGGTCGTGAAGTAGTCACGAAAAATTGCCAAGATTCAGTTTAAGATTTTGGAAAATGTGAAACGACAACTGAAAATCGAAGATACATGGTATTGGCCGTCGAATGGATTCCACGGCATGTCTGTAGGTCTATTCTGTGATTTACATGATTATTTCGACATATGCCGTTTTTGGTCGAAAATTCAGAAATTATGACGCCACTAAAACCTCGATATCTCAAAAATTCTCCGACCGATTTTTGAAACTTTGTCACAATAAACTTCAATCAATTCCCTACAGGTACCCAAAATTTGGCGCGCTGTTTATATGCTATAGCGCGGCGAAAAAGTGGTGGCGTTTAACGAGCCCCCCCCCCCCCCCCCCAGCAACTACCGGGTTAAGCGGATGATGCATCGAGGACCATGACAGTGATGCTGCTCTTTGTTCTGCAGAAAGTCTGAACATTTGCGCAGATAATAGCTGGAGTGCAGCAGCCTGGCTGCATTCGTTTCCATTTGTCACCCATTTCGGTGAGAGACTTCAAATACCCGTCCTACCCCATCCAGGGGGTCCACTGTAAGATGCACCCCACACCACGGTTGAACTCATTTCGGCACAGCTGAGTATCATTGTGGTCAGTTGGTGGCCGGCTAACTCACTGGATGGGTAGAAGCCGCCCTGTTCGTGGAACAGTTGTAGCACCAGACTGCGCCGCTGGTCCAGAATGCGCCGCAGGGAGCCCGACTTGTCGCCGCCGGGAGTGCGCGGCGAGCGGGCCGGCGAGCACTGGCCGCCCGGCTCGCTCAGTTCTGCAGCAGACAGCAGCACGGTGGTCAGACGGCCCACCACGGTGCAGCCCGCGGCGCGCTCAGTTCTGCAGTATTTACATCAATAGGGATGTCCCATCGTCCAGAAACGAGAAAAAACAATGCGGGCGTAGTCTACCAGCATGAGTGCGTATATAGAAAAGCATACATAGGTGAGACAGGGAGAAATATAAAAACGAGGGAAAGCGACCGCAAGAGGGTTATAAGGAACGGGGATGACAGCACGTTTTGGAGACGGGACACAATAAGGTGGGATGAGGTTAAATTATAGGATAAATTATAAATTAAAAATTATTCAAAATAATAACTTAAAATTATGGCATACGAAACGAGCTGGAGCAAGCAAAAGATAAAAGAGGGCATATACTAAGCGTAAACGAACGAATCGGCTCTTTTGAACACGAGACCAGGGGGTACCAATGAGAAGTATGTACGGTTCTCCAGTAAAAGTCTTCTTGGTTTTGCTTTTTCAGACATATCTGGTCCTATATAACGTTCAAATGCATAAGTATCAACCCGAATTATGTGTATGCACATTTACCACGAAACTGTGAAATTGCATCGTTGTATGCCAAATACTTTCCGAGATATTCACCAAAAACCTCATCTTCTGCCGTTTGGGGTATTCTGGCCGCAATCTTCCTGGGATCGCCTATGACATCAGTAGAGCCATCTAACGAGAGGAACGCGGAAACACAGAATCATGAATGAATCGAGCGCGTAGTAAACGGTGTATGAAAGGGAGACTCGGCAGAGGCTATCCGGGTGGCCGGCGCGCGGCGCGCCCTTAACCCGCGCACCGACGGGGGGGGGGGCGGTTCGCGAATAGCGGGAAAACCGCGGCGCGTAGCGCCGCGAAATTTGGTATGACTATTCCCTCATCAATTTTACACATGGTGTGCAAGTTTGAACCTCCTACCTTTCAAGGTCAGGTCACCTTGAGGTCACTTTGAATGACCCAACCTCAAGTCACTTTTTTGCAACTTTGTCACCGTGCCAGAGCTACAGTAGATGTCGGAGGCCTTTGAAAGTCGCAGGATGTTATTAGGTCATTAGTAGCTACAATTTGTTTATCTCGGAATTTTGATATCGGTGACCTAAGGTCAGGTCAATTTCGCGACCTCCCCATTATAAGTCAATGGGGGAAAAATCAACTCCCTGTTTTTACCACTAAAACGGGTCGGAATGGCCCCATATACCATACATGACTTCATATACGATCAACCTTCACTACCTTGAGGTCTGTTTTGCTGTTGGGCAGCTGTGAGGTCATGTGACGTCATCAAAGGTCACCAAAGGTTTTTGGCCAATAACTCCGTACAGGAACAAGATACAGACGCGTGGATGGTCTCATTGTGTTCAGCTCGTCAAGACGCATCGAATGATATACATGATGACCTCGAGGTCACGTGACCTGAGGTCAACCTTTGACCTTGACCTTTCGAGGTCAACATATATATCATTCGATGCGGATTGACAAGAGGATCACGATGCTGCCCTTAGTTTGTTCCTATCTTCACTAATTTGAAAGTTATTCGAGAAAAACTCTCCATATCCAGCGCCGCCATTTTGACTTTTTCGACCCCTGTGACGTCACCTTTGACCTGACCTGAAAATGACCTTAGTAAAAATTGTAGATCTTGACCGTGCGTATCCGATGCCGTTTACCGCTTGTCGCTATCTTGCTTCGTTCTCGAGATCTCAGGGGGGGCGGTCATCCGCCCCCCCCGTCGGTGCGAAGTTGGCGCAGACCCCCGTCGGTGCGCGGGTTGGCCGTGTTACTGCCGAATTTTGGCCACGACCCTGTCGCCGAATCACGTCGTGTAGGAAATCGGCGAACAGTTCGCCGACAGAGCCCGATTTGCAGACAATGGGTGGGGCCCCCCTAATCGTGCGCGGGTCGAAGCTGATCCATGATTCGGCGAACATCGCGAATGAATGGCGAATCTGTTGCGAATAGTCGGCGATACCTTGGCAACAAGTCGGCGCACGTAGCGACATGTCGGCGGTGACTCGGCGAGTGTTTGGCGATCATGTGCGTTTATTATAAGTTCGGCGAACGGCCACGAAATTTTCATTTTTCATGAAATATTCGTGGCGGTCGTGACGAACCGTAAAAGTCGCGCGGTGGGCACCGACTGGTCTGCGAAATGCCAAGACCGTGGAAGAAAGATCCCGAATCCCGCGACATAGGATGACTTGCATATTCGTGCACATTCGTGTACCTAAATTCGGCAGTGTAACAAGGGCTTTAGGCATCGGCCGACCCTTCGGACCGCGTGGGGTCAGAGGTCGCGCTCGGGAAGTCTCGGGTCTGGGTTTAGCGCTGTGCAGTCAGGATGGGAGGATAGGATAGAGCTAGCCCGACTGACTAGTATCTCGGCTGATTCGTGTGGGGTAGAAGGGGGCACAAAACGGGATGGTGGCTAGTGGTGGATGATGGGATGGCGGTTAGGTTAGTACGTACTGCGTAGAACGTAGCTGAACATGCATGATTGTTTTTTTTTTCATGGCAAACAACATGCAGCATAATGTGCGGGATTATGCCAGAACTCATACAAAAAGGAAATAATATTTCGGCCGAGGGAGTGGATGAGTGCCATGACAAAGCATGACGATTAGTGATGTCAATTACAGAAAATCGGAATACCGATACCAAACCAAATACCAACCAAAACCGTGGGGGAATACCGAAACCGAACCAACTTTGAAAGATGAGGGAAATACCAACTTTTTACCGATTTCTTAGCCTCTTTTACATTAGTCAGGGTTCATAATACCAACAAAATACCAAACACATTAGGATTGATATACCAAATACCAAGTTGGTATCGGTTTGGTATCGGTATACCAAAAAGTTGGTATCCGATTGACATCTCTAATGACGATGCTGCCAAAATCGGGATGCTTTTTTGCCCCCATTTTTACCCCTAACATGCAGCGCTTGATCCGAACTTAGAGGTCCCCGACTGACCTTAGACCTTAAAATCGCACCCGTCCGGTGCGCCACCTTTTCTTCAGGGGCGCTCTTCTTGGGTGTATCTGTTCTTACCAATAACTAAAGCAAATCGAATGTATAATAAAAAGGCATACCTCGAACACAGTTTTATTCACACCCGCTCGTGTGCACACTTGTTTTGACCTATACCTTTTCGCATCATAATATCACTTCAGTGCTTAACCCTCAACGGAATTTTGGGGTTTCTGCATATACCCCGGCCGAGAGGGGGAGGGCGATTACCTCGCCGTCTTTTTGCCCCTAATTGAGCTAGCGCCTTGCGGATAAAACTGAGTGCGTGCGTCGTATGGAATGCAGCAACTGGTACCCGAGTTGAATGTCTCAGGTCAACCGATAAACTCTGAGGTCAGTATAAGTGCTCCAAGTCGCGGGATCGGTTTTTGGTAAACAACTTCACCACTTAAGTGGTTACAGAGCCAAGATAATGGCACCATCGAGTTTTGCATGCTCAAGCGCGTCGAATAGTATACGCTTTGTTTTTGTTGAGGTCAATTTAATGTGTTCACATCAGGTCATCGTCAGGGCAGAGCCTCTCACGAAGCTGGCCCAAGGAGGTCATATAGCTTCTTCGATTCGGTAGGTCCTCACAAGTCCACTGGTGGCTTCCCGACTCGCTAGCTCAATTTGATCGGGACTTTTTGGTGAAAACTCCTGTGACCTTAGTGACGTCATACATTAAGTCGCCTAAAGGCTGAGCTACACTATGCGTGACCGTCCAGGAAATTACGTGCGTGATCTGCAGATCCGTGATTCCGAGACTCCCTTGACATCGGTTTCTGCGATTTTCCAGAATTTCCGTGAATTACTACTGACGTAATAATAGCAACTAATAAATGGTTTCGCAACAAACGCTTAAAGGAACTATCCCACCTTCTAAAATGTTGTTAAACCAGTTAAATTGTGCCCGACTTTATAGATTGGATGACCAGGAACACGGTTCTGGCATTTATTTTTCATTAAACATCTTAGGCTTCCCATATTCCAAACATAAACTTCCAAATATGTGACGTCACAGCCCAAAATTACCTCCTTCCCCAGGCCACCTTACTGTCATAAAGCTGATTCTTTTTACTCTGTAGGCTTCACAACAAAGTTCAGACCAAGTTTTAAGCGATTTTTCAACGAACAAACCCATTTAACCCGCGACCTGGGGGGGGGGCTATTTTTGCCCCCCCCCCCAGACTTTTCGATATATCTCGAGAACCGCTACGCCGATCGTCACCAAACTTTCAGTACCCTCCCGGATATCAATTTTACACATTGTGACCATTTTTTGTCTTTCAAAGGCTATTATAGGTTGGCCGGAAATGACGTCAGAGTGACGTCATGTTCTGCCGTTTTCGACCCAAAAAAGGGTTTCGCGGGAAGAGCTGTCAGGCCTATAGCTTTGCAAATACAGAAAAATGATAAAGACATAAAAGCTGTAGAATTGACAGGGCTACAAAACTGCTATCTCGGATTTTTGAAATTTTTGGACTTTGACCCCCAAAAATCAAAAAACATTTTTTTTATATAATAATCGAAAAATTCAAAAAGTTTGAATTTCGCAAAAACCGGAATATATGTGATAGTCCTTAGCGCCTTCCATCCACATACCAAATTTGAGATTGATACCTCTTTTTTTGGCGAAGTTATAGCGAAAAAACTGTTCAAAATTGATGACGTCAAATTTTCAAACTCAATTTTTAGCAATTCTAGACCCCGTAGCGCAAAACAAAGACCACCATTAGATTCCCCGTGACGAGCTGCATCGAATCAATACCCATTTTATGCAAAACTATCAACTTTAAAATTTGACCTTTTTTGGCCTGACCTTGACCTGACCTTGACCTGAACTTCACCAGAAAGTGACCTAAGCCGTACCTGATAGTCTTATAACCAACACCATTGAGTTGGAAATGAAAAATTGGCCATAAAACATGCATCACACAACCTTAGTAAAGTTGGGCTCATGTGACCTGAC